CAATGCAAGAAAAATTTTATTATTATAAACATCAATAAATCAATCTTTTAGACTGATCTAATTCCAAATTTTCATCATCATATAATTTGCATTTATTGTGTATTTAGCTATTTATTTTTATATTTTTTGATTTTTATTTGATTTTATTATAATAAATATACATTTTATTTTATTTATTTTTTAAAATCAATAATAATAATATTCTAATATATGATTTGTTTTTTTTCCTTGATTGCGTAACAAGATCATAATTCTTAATATGATGATGTCAATAAACAATATTATGTAATGTTTTCTGTTTGTCGCGTAACAAGATTATTCCAACATTAGATCAATCGTTCATAATAATAATGGTTTACTGTGCAACAAAGATTGACCACCATCAGATCAATTGTTTAACCCTAAATCCTTATACTTTTCCGATGGCCCATAGTGTAATTCGATTACTATTTAAAAGAGCAACAGGGATATAGCAACGGTTTGAGATTAGGAAATGAGATTGATAGTGGTTCTTCTGAGATTTTAAATTTGCTCAAAATCTTATTTATTGGCCAATTAATTCATATTCTCCTTTTAAAATTAAAAATTTAGTGGAATACAACGAATAAAATTAATAATTCGAATAATAATAATAATAATAATAATAATAATAATAAAATCAATAATTCGATAATTCGAATATTAATATTAATAATAATAAATAATAATAACAACAACAGATAATAATTCGAATAAAATATTTTTTCTTTATTATTATTAATATATTTTTCCTTCGTAGTCCTAATATATAGTGATAATGATAATAAATAGTAGTGACATCTTTCTTTTCTTTTCTTAATAATAATATAGATTATAAATATAATTATTGTGATTTATATATCTTGTTAAAGGAAATAAAGCATTATCTATAATTTTACAAATAGTTAACAATAACGATAATAACAATATAGAATTTGTTGCATCAAGCTGTGAATTAAATATTTTATATTTTATAAAACGAAAATAATTCTAATAACGATAAAACGAATAAAACAAATAAAACTAATAAAACGGATAATTCGAATAAGAATTTGTATTACGAATAGAATCCCTAACTACGACCCCACATCCACAACTATAGTGTTATAATTGAGTTGAAAATTAAATTTCAACCCCAGCGTTGGACGTTAGTGATATCTTTTTACATCTTTCATTTCAACTTTTTTCGTGGAGAAGGGTCATTAAAAAAAGGTAATCAAAGAATACTTTTTAAAAAGAGATGATTAATTTGTGGACGCACCTAATAATTGCAACATCAATATAATTTATATTGTCTTTAACGAATAAAAGGGTTATTGCAATGATATTTTTACGATATTCTTTTTTCTTCCTTATTTCCTTTTTCTCTTTCTCCCTTCTTTTTCATTGTCATTACCATAAAGTTCAAATGGCAAAATGCAATTTAAATCATATTGGCCTAGATGGCCAGATTGGTTGTTTAGGTAAATAAAATGTGATAAATTTAAATCCTTTTATCTCTCTTAATGTTATTTAGCGAATGACACGGTTTGGCTGTAGTGGTGGATATACTAATTTCTTGAGGTAGTAATCATTTTATTTATTTATTAATCTTGATATCAAAAAACTTATTCTTTTTTTGAACCGAGTTTCAGTCGCTGAGATTCTTGTAGCAGAAGAATTGATTGCAGAATGTTTGCATACACATTGACGTATTATTTGAATTAGCAAATATTAGTATTTATTAATTTCACTTTTCATAAAAGCACATATAACATTCATTCTGATGACTTACTAATCAGGTTGGTTGTTTTAAAGCGAAAGTAGTAAAAGTGCTGCTAACGACAATCTTGGCATATGACTGATTAGTTTCCTGGGATTTTATTAGACAATTAACCAACACGATACCATATGATTATAAAATGAAATTAAGTACAAATGTGATTATTATATATATAAGAACCCTCCATGTAAGAACATCATATGAAAACCTCTCTATTAAGCTTATAGAAAAATACCTCCATCTATCTTTATAAAACCGTTTTTACAAAAGGTTAGTTACTATGTTCCCCACAGTGTTCTCATATGAAGATATGTTTTTGTTTTCGATGAAAAATTTGAAATGATTCTGCTGCGTACAATATCAGAGTTGATAAAAGATCAACAAAGTATTAATATTAATATTAATATAGTATAGTTCTACTTTATTAATGTTGACAAACATCAACAACAAATATATACTACTCATCCAGTTTCAAAAGTTGCTTTTCTATCAGCAGCAACTCCGGTTAATAATAACAGATTTCAAATTCGATAAATCGGCACCAACATTTTCTACTCGGAAGTTCCATTAGCGATACTATAAAAGAGATTATTATAAACGCAAATATACATATTATAATTTAAGGCGTTATAGATAAATAAATATAATAATAACATAAAAACGCATAATTTCTGTAATTATTGCGTTTCTTTACAGATTACTAATAGTTGATGATGAAGACGATGAAATTATATTGTATTGAGAAAATTGTCTGAATTTCTTTGTCGGTTATGAATTTTGTAGCAGTTGGTTCGATTAAGGCCCCGCAAACTTCATAAATAGGTCAGTAACAAATATTCCAAAATTAAGCTTAATATAATTTGATAGAAAGAAGAACCCATAATTTTGGATCGGCAGCTAATTTAAAATCGCGGATAGTTTTGCCGAAAAATAAATTAATTACTGTTTCAAAAAAAAATTTTTTTTCAATAAAACAAAATAGATTAATCAAGTCAAATTTTAAACATTTATTTTTATAATCATGTCATTTAATAAATTATTATCGCCAGCAAGAAAGGGATTTGTACTTGGAATTTATAACGAAATGCATCATAATGCTTTGGTTAATTCTGATGAAGAAAGTAGAAATGATTATTTTTTTTTATTTGTCAAAAAAAATAAGGAACTTTCTGAAAATGAAAAAGAATTTTGTAAAGAACATTTTATTTATGAGCTTGAATTAAGAAAAGCAAAGTATGGATTGGGCAAACCAAAAGAATGCAACAAGTGTAAATCAACAAGATACTCTGATAGATTCTGTGAAGGTTGTATTAGTTTACAATTACAGAGTCTTTTTACTACTTGGACATCTGGAAATAACTTAATGGATCATTTTATTCAACAATGTCAAATGAAATCATCTCTGCCAACTTATATTTTAGAATGGATACCTTTTGAGCAATTTGAAAAAGTAACAAAGTTAACTGAAGGTGGATTTAGTTCAATTTTTACTGCAAAATGGACAAGAGGGAGAATAATTGATTACAATGAAAATAAAATGGAATTTAGTTATTTAGGAAAGCAACATGTGGTATTAAAAAGTTTAAATGATTCAAGTAATCCAGGAAAAGCTTTTTTGATGAGGTTGGTAGTTGTTATTTAAAATAATACTGTATTATATAAATACTAATCAATTTTATATTTACTTTCAGGCAGTGAATTATTGTAAAATTAAATCAAAAATGCTTAATCGTTGTTATGGTATGACTAAATTTCCAGATAATGGAAATTATGCAATAGTTTTAGATCATCATTTAGAAGGAAATTTAAGGGATCACTTGCAAAAAAGTCATTTAACATTAAAGGACAAAATCACAATCTTTAAATGCTTACGCAATGCATTAGATGATATACATCAGAAAGATTTAATTCATTGTGATTTACATAGTGGTAATATATTAATAAGCAAAGGTAGTTGTTATATTACAGATTTAGAATTATGTGGGCCAGTTGATGAAAAGTCATCAAATAAAGCCTATGGGATTGTATCATATGTTGCACCTGAGCTACTTAGAGGCAAAAAGAACACCAAAGAAACAGATATCTATAGTGTTGGGATGTTAATGTGGGAAATATTTGCAGGTCATCCACCATTTGATGATAGAGCTCATAGTCGTGATTTAGTGCTTAATATATGTGCAGGTTTACGACCACCAATATTACCAGGAATGCCTGGTGATTATGCACAAATGATGCAAAGGTGTTGGGATGTAGATCCAGCCAAGAGACCACCTATTGAAGAGCTTTTGGAATTTGCTGGTAATCAACGAAAAGAAATTATCAATAATAATCATGATAATAATAGTATTAGTAGTATTGGCAGTAGTGATTCACAACAAGTGCACAAATCACATCCATTAGCATATCATACAAGTAGAATATTAAATGACGAATTTGCTAAATTGAATTTAAGTAATGATAGCTTATTAAATTATGAAATTTAAATAGTTGGTTAATTAATTAATTTAAATATGATTAAAGTAGTTGAGTCGGAGAATTGGGTAAATTGTTGATGGGTAGATAATTAATTATTTTTTATCATCTTTTATATTTATTATTTATTTTATTTGGTTTTTTTATTTCGAAAATAAATTCCTTCAATTCAGAATCACACCAATATAAATGTTAAAAAATGTAAAACGAACAATACTACATTTCATTTTTCATAAATTCTTAATTGTATTGTTGTGTCCCAGGTGATTGATTATTTAAAGCCTGAAATCAAGGGATGAAGATGGTGAGAATGGATAAGGAAGTTTTGACTAAATTTGAAATCAAATATTTTAAATGAAACAAGGAAAAAATGGATTCTCGATCTGAAAATGCATTGGATTTACTTTTTTTCAATATATTCAATATTTTTAAGATTCCAAATGATCTGTTAAAGTACGTTGCCGCAAGGTCAGGAAGGTGAAAATTAGACAATGGGTAGAATTAAGTATTTATAATATTAATATGTTAAGGAATACGAAAACAAAAAAAAGAAATATTGTTAATATCCTTTCTAGTTTTTCTAGGACAACAAAATTTAATTGGCAAATGTTATTATAATAATATTAAATTCTTGACCACGAGAACAAATTAATTTTTTATCAATTTTTTTTAATTTCGAAAGTAGTGAATGTTAGAATATCGATTATAATTACAAAAAAAAATATATAAAAAATACAATTTACTCGTCTCATCCTCTTGCTATTCCAATTCTCATTGTTAACATAGAGAGGAAAGTACATGAGGCGCCAATAACAAAAATGGACCATTTTGTTACTTCTGGCAAATAAATATATTTTCTAGAATTAGCAACACTCACTGAATTTACATCCATAAAAACATAAAGTGCATATAATGAAAATGTCATGCAATATGAGACTGTAACAAAATAGTTTCTATAAAAGTTCGGAAAGATTAGAAAAGTTAGAGAATAATTATTATAAAATTAATAATAATAATAATATCAATAATTAATTGGTTAATGATTGCTTACGCAAAAAAGTCCAATAGAAAAACGACGTTAAGTATGTTTGCAATAAGATGTATAACCGAGCCAGCTATTAAAAGTAGTAATTGTTCAGGATAAGAGACTAGGTAAAATGCGCCTACATTTGGCGGCGATGCTGACAATCCTTCGATGTCATCCTCTTCATCCAAATGTCGTTGATCATAATTATTTACATAATATTTTGTGGTCAGGTACGTCCTAACAAAATGTACCACAAGTGCATAATCAAGTATCAATCCTAAAAAAGAATAATAATTTTGGAATTTAAATTTTTTTGATTTAACTTTTAATCAATCAAAGAGTGTTTATTTTACCTTGAAATTTGAAAAATAAAGCATCGTAAGGCCATTTAACATAAATAACAATCGAAGCTATTGACATAAAATATGTCAATAACCACAAAAATTGTTTTGTGGTTCTGAGTTGTCCACCTGACAAAAATGAAACTAATAGTGTAAGTTCAAAAAAGTTGTGCATCACTGCAAATGTTGTAAATAGTTTGGAGGGATCAATGATATAATAGGCTATAATTGATGAAAATGTGCCCAAATTATAATGCGCAAAGTTTTTATTAAAGTATTGTGTTGATGTAAGAACGCTGCTGCTGACGCCATCGGTATTGCTGGTCGAGCAAAAATATGTTTGGACTTTTTTGTTGGCTGGATGTGTAAAATATGCGTTTTTGTATGTAACGATTGAAGTAAGCAATGTAATTACAATTCCAAGCAAACCCACTGATCTCATTCTGTCCCCATAAAGTGCTATAATATTACGATAATTCCAATTAATTCCAATAATAAATTAATAATTTCTGAATATTAATCGATATAGTTACCATCGAAGGGAGGATGCCATGTTGGAAAATGAGTGACTGGACTCTCGGCTTGGGGAATTTTTTTATCAGGAACAAACGCAAAACTAATTAACAAAATTCCATATGCAACGACAAATAATAAAACAATAAAAATTTTTAAAACTGACATTTTTTAAAAAGATTTTTAAAGAAAATAAAATACAATCTCATATCATTTTGCCATTTATATGTTATTTAGATTTAATAAAGATAAAAAAAATCATAAACTTGTTATAATATGAACAAGATATTTTTTTTTATCAAAACCTGTTCAATGATAATAGGGAAATTCTAATTTTGGATTCATTACTTTTCTTTTATTCATTCATTTATAATAATAATTAGCGGATTGTTTGAAATTGTTTATTATTATCTTCCTTTGTTGGTCTTTTTTTTTTATTGATTGATCTAATTCGAGTAGATTAATCTTGCGGACCGTGCGACGTTTGATCATCTATTTAATATTAATCGCTTACAAGATGGACAAAATGGTCAAAAGCCGTTCGCTTCATGCAGCATTACTACTATAAGAGGCATGGATAATAGAAAGGGTGTCAACGTCAAAAATCATCACATATATACGTAAGGAACAATTTTAGAAACTATGCCCACTTAATAAAATTTTGAGAAATTTTCTGTTAAATGTTTTTTTTTAAAAATAGTAAACAAGGCATCGGTGATAGAAACAAGGATAATTACAATTCATCACAAAAATTAACTTTAAGCTTAGTAACCATGCCAACTTGATAAAATTTCGGAGATTAAAATAATATAATGCAGATCTTTTCTCAATTTTCTATTGTCCTTGTCCCAATATTGTCTGTCACCAAGAAGTTGTTGTTGTAAATTTCCTATTATATTAATATTAATATATTCCCAAAAAAAAACTTAATTGACGATCCGCCTATAAACAAGTAAACTCTAAATAGCCACTTTACTAATTGACGACTTTGTATAAAAAATGGTAGTACTTGTAATATTTTTTTATTTTGCATCTGGAACATATCTTACTATATACATTTTTTTTAAAGTTCGTGTAACTTATTAAAATAAACAAAAAACGAGAATTTTTTAATTAAAGTTTCAAATTATTCCAACTATCCAACTATTATTCATAATAATTAATTTGATTGAACTTTATTCAAATAAAACTATTTCGAAACTCTGAAATTGTTTTTAAACTCCAAAAATATTTTAAAACTTCAAAATCATTTCAAAACTCCAAAAAAAAAGCAAAGTGACGCCATGTGATAAAAGATATAATCAAAAAAATTTATTTAATCACCGACATCCAACAGCACAGTAATCGTTGGGTATTATTAGCATTATCATTTCTTTTTGTTGTCCTAAAAATTTTTAGAAATCAAACATTTACATTAAAGAAGACAAGCACCATCATTATGTTGATATCCTGACAAAGGTGATCTCAAGTTGCAGTGAATGTAAAAAAAATTAATGTGATGCTCACCTTCCAAAATATATCCAACATACAACACATCTTTAAATCTTGCCATATCTAACTAATTGTTGGGTCGTTTTTCAGTTTCCCGTATCTAGTATTTTTTATCATATATGAATGTTTATATAATGATATTTCAGCTAATGATGATGATGATGATGATGATGATAATGATAAATTTATTTTTATCTGAGGAAATTGTCAATAATTCTTTTTTTTAGGTTTGGTTTTAGTGAACGACGGACGAGTAATTTGAATCAGAGGATCGCTTTTCTTTCGTTTAGAATTACGATCTCGAAGGCTTTTCGACAGTTTAAATAAAAAATGTTGAATCTAAATATGTGTGTAATATTATTATTTTTTATCTGTATGCTTACTACGCAAAAATATTAAATTTTTCTTTTATTATATTATTTTTAAAAATATAACAACTTAATTTTTATAATAAAACATAAATATAATAATCAATATAATCAATAAACATGTTAAGCATTTTTGACCCTATTTGTGCCACTTTTTCCGGCAGCAATCAAATCAACCTAAAAAAATATATATAATTAATTAATAAATTATCACTCTTTGAAGAAAAAAATAAACATAATTGTTATTATTATTAATATTACCTTTTGTCTAGGAACACTTCCCTAGAAACATTAGAAGCATTACTAATATGTTGATGATTACCACCACCATGAGGATGATCTACGAGATAGCAACACCACGAGTTTTAGGCCAACTATTTCTCTTAACTCTATATCTATGATAGGCACGGCCTGCTTTAAGCATAGTTTTGTCAATATGTCCACCTCCTGATACAATGCCAACAGTTCCGCGAGCAGATGAACTCACTACTTTTTTCGTTCCTGATGGCAACTTTGCCTTCGTCATGATTATGACCAATAATTGTTGCATAATTTCCTGATGTTCTGGCCAATGAACCACGACCTCCAATTTTTTTCCTCAACATTACATATAACCGTACCTTCCGGCATCGCATTTAATGGTAATATGTTGTCAACTGTTAAAGCTTGCCTTTTTACCACAATATATAAATTGCAAAAAAATCCCTATTTCATTTTCAACGATATTACTAAATCTATTATATCTAATTTATTTTACATAATGATGCGTATCACGGAATCAAACTTTTGCTAAAGGTGCGCCACGACTGAATTACTTTGACTATACCTCTAAATGTATTCATTATGTTCAGCATAATCTAATGATCTTAACTTAGCGGCACCTTTACGAAGTCTAGTATGAGATTTGAAATGGATAACACGCCTCATTTTGCTTTTTTAAAAAAAAAATTGCTAGATGTTACACGATGTTAAACATTAAAATTCACGTGGTCCACAGGTCAAAAGATTAATCTTCAAAATAAAAATAAAAAATGTCTGGAAAACGTGTAAAAGAAGATGAAGAGGAAAATGTTGATCAAGTTTCTGGTATTTTAAAAAAAACCTAATATGAAAAGTAAAAAATCTTCCCTGGTTTTAAAACAACTAATTAAATATTATATATAACCTTTACTTTTTACTCTAGATACTGATATAGGTCCAGTTTTACCAACAGCAGAAAATTTACCGAAAAAGAAGAAACGAGGTAAGTCAACTAAAATATATCCCTCTTTTGGAAAACCATCATCCATTTATCCAATTATTTAATAATAATAATAATATAATAATTTTATTTTTAGTTTTAATTCATGAAAAATTGTATTTGGATCATTTACCTTCTTCTGATATGTACGAACGAAGCTATATGCATCGTGATGTTTTGGGCTATGTAATGGTTACAAAGTAAAAAGCTTTCTCATTCTTTTTTTCATAGTTATTTGATTATTGATATATATATGTGTGTGTGTACATTTATATAATATTTATTATATAGGACTGAATTTATAATAACTACATCTGTTGATGGGCATTTGAAATTTTGGAAGAAAAGTGGCAAAGGAATTGAATTTGTTAAACATTTCCGGTCACATTTAGGTAAATAATAATAATAATAATAATTTTTTTTTTTCTTATTAATAAATATTTTATAACTTTTTGATTTTTAGGAAACATTTCTGGTATATCTGTATCAGCCGATGGGTTATTATTTGCTTCAATTGGGATTGACAAATCATTAAAAGTGTATGATATTGTTAATTTTGGTATGACTTTTTTTTAAAATTATTTGAATTTTTTGAATTTTATGATAAAAATCAAATAAATATAAATCTTATTTTTTAGACATGATCAACATGATAAAATTAAATTATGTACCAAATAGTGTTTGTTGGATTCATAGAAGTGGTCAAGCACAACCTTTAGTTGCATGGTGAATAATTAGTTCATAATATTAATTTAAATGGGGATATGGTTTTCTTTTAATATTGAATTAATATTTAAATCAAATTTCTTTTTGATAGTTCTGATCATGATTCTGGGAACATTTATATTTATGATGGTCGAGGAGATGGTCAACCATTACATCGTATTTTAACAATGCATTCAAGCCCTGTTCATGTGATGGCAGTATGTAATATTAATGTGATTATTTTTAAGAAAAATTTTTTTGTATAAATTAAGGTTGATTTTTTTTAAATGTTTTTATAGTATAATGAACTCTACCATTGTGTTGTGTCAGTAGATACATCTGGGATGATGGAATATTGGGAACCGGAAGAACCATTTGAATTACCAAAATCAATTTCATTTGAATATAAATCTGATACAGATCTTTATGAATTCAAAAAGGTAACCTTTACCAAATGATAGTTTTTATTTTGTTTTAAAAAAAACTTACTTCCTCAAACATTTTTTTTTTGTTCTCTAAAGGCTAAAACAATGCCAACATCTTTGTCATTTTCTCAAGACAATGAACAATTTGTTACTATGAGCATTGGAGATCATCAAATTAGAGTCTTTAAATTTAAAACGGGGAAGATGACAAGAAAATATGATGAATCGTTGTCTGTTATAAGTGAAATGCAACAGGTTTGTGTAGATTTTATGTAAAAAATGTATATAAATATATATTATATCTTTTAAATGATTATCTAAACAGTCAAAGATGACGTCTCATAGGCTGGAACAACTATTTATAAATTAGATGACATGGAGTTCGGTCGACGATTGGCTGTTGAACGCGAATTAGAAAAAACTCTACAAGCAAGTACTATGAACGCAGGTAATAATAATTGATTTGAGCATTTTCAAATTTCAATAAGAAATTTATTTTTAAAATTAAGATGTTAATGAAAATATTTTTTTGGCGGGACAAGTGTTTGATGAAAGTGGTAATTTTATAATTTATCCCACAATGTTGGGAATTAAAGGTATGTTTCAACAAAATAAACGTGATGAAATTATTCTTAATATTTATATCAATACCAATATTAATTTTTCATTTTTTTTTTTCAAGTTGTTAATTTAAGTACAAATAAAGTGGTAAGGTTAATTGGTAAGACAGAATCACATCGATTTTTAAATATTGGATTGTATCAAGGAGCACCAAAGAAAAAATCTTTGATTACTTTGGTAAGTTGGCATTTGGGAGATTTCTAGTAATATGTGATTAGGAACCTCTCTGACCAAAATTGAGTTATTGCATAATATATCTATATTACAACTTGTGAGAAAATCAACCATGTTTGCTTAGCATAATAATGAGACATAAGACTTTGAAATTTAATATGAATATCAAATAACATAATTTTGCAGGGACTGTTACTCAAAAAAAATTTTATTATGTTCCTAACCACATCTTGCTAGAAATCATCCCATTTTTTAAAAAATAAATAAAAACTGTCTCATATAATTCCAATTAATTAGTCTTTTATTTAGGCATTGGCTGCATCTGACAATCCTTTAATGAAAGAAAGTGAGGTAACAGACCCCACATTATTTTGTACGGCATATAAACGAAATCGATTCTTTATGTTTACAACTCGAGAACCTGATGCGTTAGTAATAGAATTTTTTTTTTTTTCAAAAATTAAAAAGATGATTCATTATGCAAAATATATTTACACACATCTATATTCATTTTTATATATCTAAATAGTCAAGATTCACATAAAGGTGATCGAGATGTTTATAATGAGAAGCCATCACGTGAAGAACAAACTGTAGCTACTGCAACGCCCACAAAACAAAAATTGGGACACACGGCCATAATACGTACAACGGCCGGTGACATTCATATCAGACTGTTCCCGGACTATGCACCAAAGGCTGTTGAGAATTTTGTTACACATTCGAAAAATGGTTATTATAACAATGTAATTTTTCATCGTATAATTAAAGGATTTATGATTCAAACTGGTGATCCATTAGGTATGATTTAATTATATATATTCTTGATTGTATATATTAAATTTATCTTTTTTGATTTAATTAATAATTGATTATTTTTTTTAAAAAAAAGGTGATGGTACTGGAGGAGAATCAATATGGGGAACAGATTTTGAAGACGAATTTCATCATGATCTTAAACATGATTGTCCGTATACTGTTAGTATGGCCAATGCAGGACCAAATACTAATGGTTCACAATTTTTCATCACAATTGTTCCTACAGTAAGTAATAATATTAGTTTTCTTGAATTAGAAAATTCGATTTGTAAAAAAGCTAATAACTTTTTTTTATGGGGAAAATAAGCCTTGGCTTAATAATAAACATACAATATTTGGACGTGCAACTGCTGGTATGGATGTTATTCACACCATAGAAAATATTAAAACTGACAAGATGGATAAACCATATGAAGATATAAAGATCCTGAACATTGAAATTAGATAATGATAATGATAATGATATGATCATTCTATTATATAACTTTATTGGTGGAAAAAGGATTTTTTTCTTTAATTTACAATTTTTCTTTAAAAAAAATAAAATACAATTTCATTTTTTACATATATATAGATAGATAATAAATAATACAAAATTATCTTTAAATAATAAATTAAATGTTTTTTCTAAAAGCAATAAAAAATCATTTTGGAGTACCAAATATTTTGGTTTCCATTAGTTCTTCTATACATTCTATAGTTGCAGAAGCTAATAATTGTTTCATATTTTCAGTATTTCTTATAATTGACCAATTACCATGTACAAAATCTAAAGCTGATTTCTTTAATTGTAATTTACTAGACAAAATATCTGAATCCCAAGCAACTTTTAATACTTGATCCCAATTATCATAATTTATCAAATTTACCAATTGATCAGCTGCTAATTTACACAAATTTTCTAATCCCATTATCCCAGAATTGATGTAAATATCTTTTAGCAGATCAAATGATAAATTATCCTTTAATTTCAAAGAATATAAATAATAAACTATTGCATTAAACGTTTCATATTTTACATGCTTTATTGGCATCTTCAAACTACATCCACCACCACCACCACCACCACCACCACCACCACTATTATTACTATTATTATCATTAAATAATTTGTCAAAATATTCTGATCGTTGTGAAAGTATTATACGATGAGCTTTTATAGAATTTTTTGTATTAGCATTATTATAATTTTCCTCTTCAAATGTAAATTCCACATCAAAATAAGCGTCATGATTGTAAAATCTCTCGAATGTAGTTAAAGATTGTTCATTATTGAATCCTTTATAATAATCTTGAAACTGTGATTTAGTATAGGTATAAATATGAAGTTTTACTAATAAATTAATTTCTTCTCCTTGAACACTATTTAGATTAATGCTATCGTTACTACTACTCCTCCTATGATTATTATTGGTGGTAATATCATCATTACTATAAAAGTTATTAATATTAAAATTGTCGATTGTATTACTATTACCATTAACATTACTACTGTTATTTAACCAGAGATCCAATGGAGAGGAAAACAAACTCTGGAATGTTCCAATTGAAGGGAACCCATTGATAACACGTGCACCTTGTAAATCAAAATCAAATTTTTGCGTGTTAGTTTCATACACCAAAGATAAAGAATCCTTCGAAGAATCAATTGATGTTGTCGTTGCTGTTGATGAAAACGATGATGATGGCGACAATGAATCGTTTGAAGGGTTTTTTATGCGATAAACTAAAAATTTGAATTCGATGTTATTTCTTTCGATGCAACAATTATTTTTTTCAAAAGGTGTTTGAATTGCTTCCAAGTATAACGATACAAGATTTGGATGATCATGTATTCCATTTGGATAAATTCTCATTCGCCAAGCATAATCAGAATCTTCATCAGCCGTCGTTATCATTGACGATGGCTCCGTTGTAAGATTTGATGATAACATTGGATTTAAATTTTGTTGTTGATGTTGTTGTGGCGGTGGTGGGTTTAAACAACTTGTATCATTTATGCCTCTAGGTGATTTAATTCTGTCGCTGTATAAAAAAGTGTTGTTGGGCATTAATTTGACCAAATCCTGAAAGCCTCGTATTGACCAAGAGTAAACGAATTCTTGAGGTTTTATTTGTTGTTGAAATGGTAATCTTATGGATAGATCCGGAAAGGACAAAAATGACTTTGAGGGTATTTCTTGTTGAAGCTGTTGCCGCTGTTGTTGTTGTTGGAAATTAATGTTATTTGAGGGGGTTGCTGTTGGAAATAATTGTGGATTATTCAGTACATATGTTGGATATTGTTGTGTCATTGATCGAGTTCGTAATGGTCGTCGCCGCCGTGCTAATAATTGTGAAGGTGCTGTAGTTGAAGGGGCTGATAACGGGACAGTTGGCAATGGGACAGAAGTTCTTCGTGGCATTGTTATTATGTCGATTATATATATATTTATATTTTTAAAAATAATTTTTTTTCTCTCTTGAAGAAAAAGAAAAAAAAATTATGTATTATAATGTCCATTATTATTTATTGTGTTATTATGTATTATATTAGAAATAGAAAACTTCTAGAAATATAAATTATTCCCAAACAAAACAATAATTGATGTAACTTGAAAATGTCAATAATTGATTTTTGAAAAGGTAATTTTTTTTCCTTTAATAAATTTATTTATATACTATAATACAATTAAAAAAAAAAAAAAAAAAAAAAAAATGGAAAAAATAAAAAAAGCGTTAAATAATAAAAAAACTTCAAAAGAAGAATATTTAAATGACAGTAATAAAAGATATGGTAATTGTTCAACTTGCAATAAATATAATACTAATTACTCGTGGTGTAAATTATGCGATCCGCAACTATTAACGCAAGGGTGGACCAGTGGTAATAAAACAATAGATGAAATAATTAAAGGGACACAACTTCAAACGGAAGAATATAATGGCTATCATCTTCGATGGATTCCATATGATAATTTAAAAGATATTAGAAAAATAGGTGAAGGTGTTTTTTCGACTGTATACAAAGCTAATTGGATAAAAGGTGATAAATATTTAGATGTTAGAACAAATAAAAGGTGTAGTAGAGATATGGTTGTTACTTTAAAAAAAATACATAATTCCCAAAATATTTCAGAAGATTTTATAAATGAGGTAATTTATATATATTTTTTTTCTTTATTATTATTAATTATTAATATTAACTATATATATATATAATTTTTATTAGTTAACCAAATATATCAAATTATGTCATATAATTCTTATTTATGGATTAACACAAGATCCAAACACAAAAGCTTATATTTTTGTAATGCGACATGAAGAAAATGTAAGTTTCAGAATTATTTGACAAAAGTTTTAAGATGTAAAAATAAAATATAATTACTTTATCGATTGTTTAAAAGGGATTTATACATTCATTATGATATTCATAGTGGTAATATTTTTCAAGAATAATTTATTCAAAGTATTTATTTTGGAATTCTATCTGCTGATTAAATATAAAAATGATATATTTTGGAATACTATAATATGTAACAACTGAAGTTTTAAGAGTTGGGAATGCACATAATTACATTCGACATGTACTGTTTTGGAATATTAATGCCAGCCCTTCAACAACGTTGTGCATGATTTAAAGCTATTTGTAGAGAGTAAAATCTGGATTTTCTAACAACACTCCAGATGCATGGATGCAAACGACCAGCTGCTATAAAGATAATAAAGATTGCCATGCTTCTTTGAATAATCTTTTGTTTGGTAAAAGATATCATAATGATCATTATTATGTGCTTTATAAAGGACAAAGATGATTAAATCAATTTTAAAAATATGTTGATTAAATGGATATGATCCTTCTTCAATAATTACTACAGCAATTCATCTAAATGCCGCTTCTATCAGCAACTATTAAAATTTACATCCCCCTCAACTTGTAAACTCTAAAAAGTAATTCATAAAACTTAAGACGATCATTGGAATCATGTCATTTTCGACAAAAATTAATTGTTATAACCCATAGTGAAGGATGTGATGATTGGTAATAATTGATAACCGTGCAATAATAGCAAGTTAATATAAAAAAATTAGAAATAAACGCATATGTAAATTTATTTGCAAATAACATTAATAACTAAATACTCAGGTTATTGTTGAAAATTGTCCATTAGACCAAGTAATAAGATTTGGATTATTTGATCAAATGAAAATCCAAGGATCCAAGGAAAATTTTTTTTAATAATAATATTCAACTCTGGTTTTCCCCAATTAAATTTTTGTTTTTTTTAATAAAAGATATATTTGATGCCAAAGCTGCATGTGATCATCTTAATGGATTTAATGTTATGGGGAGATACCTGATAGTACTATACTATCAACCTAACAAAGTTACTAAAAAGATGAATTTACAGAAAAAGGAAGAAGAGTTGAAAGAATTAAAAAGGTAATTTTTAAAGAGAAATTAGGTATTCT